ATCTTTACAATCTTTATAACAGATCTAGTGTTGATGGAAATATTGAGATGTGCCAAGTCCGAATGGAATCGGATGTTAATTTCGTGTTGTATGAGCTTCATGGATATTCAAAATGTTGACCCTTTGTGGGGGAGATACCAGAAAGAGAGGAAAGAGTGGATATATTCCATCTTCACCCAGACCTTGGATTAGTAAAAATATTGTGATGTGTATAATTTGAAGACTCCTACATCACATTTTATAAGAGTCATAATTATTCAAAATTTTGACCCTTTCGTGGTGGATGTACTTGATCGATTGGACCGATGTTGTCCATTCTAGGTCAGGGGCGAAAATGAACAATATCGGTCCAATCGATCAAGTACCTGCACTGATGGATTATCCTTCCTCTTTCTGTGCAGTAAAATGTTATTTTTTTTAATATTTCAGCTAGAAGGAGGGGACCGATATTACCTATCTCCGAACTCGATCTAAGTTTGATAATAATATTACGATGTACCAAGTTTGGACCAAATATGACCTTCGAGAGTTATCGTAGGCAACAGCCAGCCAAACGGACGGACGGACAGACATTGCTACGAAACGGATTTGGTCCAAAGAAACCTAAGGACTAAAACCGTTATTTCGACGAGGCTCGTTTTGGCCATATCAAATGATATATACCCTCTCTAGGGTATAAACAACTTAAAACATATAATTACATCACTTTACCTTCTTTATTCTACCATGAATACAACTTTTAAAGAATCTTCTGTATAGACGTGTACGCATGGAATATAAGTGTTCCAGGCGTAGGAGAACTATGAACGGACTTCTTAAAGTTTTTTTCGAACAAAAATTGAAAATATGTTTTCCCCAGGTAAAATACTTTTAAAGGAGTTCTTAATACAGCACCCTTTATAGGTTTTTTTATGGATACATTGAATGTTGTTCGTTGGATGTCATTTTAAACTTAAAATCCCATCTTTAACTTCCTACCAATATTCTATATTTAAACTATTATAGATAATTTTGAAAACTTAAAAATTGTTGTTATTGTTAAATTTCATAATATATTTGAAAAAAAAAACGCTCACACACCTCCACTCTCTACTGCAATATGCATATTTATTTCCTGGTTCATTGTAAATTTAAATATTGTTTCTATGTACACGGCTATCATTCCACTTTTAACAGCGTTCTCCAAATACCACCGACTTGTGTTACAGTTTGCTAATTAGCATATACTTGAAAGAATTGTGTTCAATACTATAAATTAACAAGTAAGCAAAGGCTACAGTCGAGCGGGGCCGACCGTTGAATACCCTACAACACTATAATAAGTGATACAGTTTATATAGGCGAAATACTCGACAGAATTCCACAAGATATTGTGACAAATAATAAAAGAAAACCATCAGGTTTCGTTCCCTAATTTTCGAATAATAGCAACTTTAACTAATTTGCTCATTTCCAATTTATTGGTAGATGTTGCACGTAAATGGTCTTCCTAGATCTGGAACCAATATCTCCCAAAGACCTATGATCTCTCAGAAGTGGCAAAAGTTTAACATTTATTATTGGTTTTTGACTGAAACGCATCTATATGAGATACAGACATTTGACTATATTTTTCAACGAAATCAGCGTTAACGAAATAGTCAGAAGTGCGTCTTTCCTGTATTTGTGAATTCTCCAAAAAGCCACTGGAGTCGACATTTTCGTATTTTGTCTACAAAAGTTGGCAAAATCCTTCACACATTTAATATTTTTTGATGGCCATCCAAAACTGCTTGGTTTTTGCAATGTGCGGTAACCCCCATTTAAATGTGCGTGAGGATCGGGTGACAATTTTGCAGTTTTTTGGTCCATTTCAACCCCTAAATATATGGCGATCATCTCCAAAAAGAGTAGGCTTCTATTCTGACCCTCATCTTATCCCCATGCAAAATTTCGGGCCATAAATGCGATCTGTATATGATATCCTGATATCCTTACTACTTAGTTTTGTTAGCTGTAGAAATATTACCAAATGTTTAATTCAAAATGAAAATATGCCAAAAATATGACAAAATTTAAAAAATATGAGAAAATTTTACAAAATCAATATTTTCATCTTTAGAGAGATATTTTTATGCGATTTTTTTAGACGTTTTTTCTTTCCTGCCAAGAGGCTATTCTGAATTAATGAGAACTGTCGAAATCAGTTCAGCCGTTCTCCACATATAAGAGATCTTTCAAGCATATCTTCTTTGATAGACATATATATCGCACATATTTTGCTATATATCCGATTTGTTGGATAATAACATCAATGTAAAGGTCAGAAGTAACCTTGTGATGGCTTTGTGATTTCGCCAGGATTTAAAATATTCACGGTTTAATGAAAAATTTTGATTTTTTTCAACACAAAAGATATGGTGTATTTTACCCGCTAATATTATCCGATGACCACCCGAATTTGTAGCCTTCTTCCCCGCCCTAAACTCTATCTACACGCGAAATTTCGCGTCGATTGGTCTATAATTGCGACCCGTATAGCTACTTCAAAATCCGAAATTTTTCCAGTATTTGGTCCATTTCAACACCTAAACATTTGGCGAATATCTCCAAAAGGAATAGGGTTCTATTCTGGTCCAAGCCCCACCTACATTCTAAATTTCGTGAAGATCGGGCCATAATTACGACCTGTAGAGTGATTACAAATTAACATGGACAGACGGACAGACGGACAGACGGACAGACGGACGGACGGACATACATAGCTAGATCGACTCAGCTCGGCGAGCTAGGAAGATCCATATATGCTTTCCTATGTGGGAAACCAATATTTCGAGGTGTTACATAATTTTTGGGCCAATCAAACTTATAATACCCCCAACACATAGTGTTGTAGGGTATAAATATGCAGAGAAAATAAAATATACTCACACACATACCTACAATACGGAGGTTGTTTTGAAAGTTTCGTTGGGGGCAAGAATACAAACGATTTGAATTGAACTTTCCTGCGGTAAAATAAATTGGTTTATCTGGTTACTTTTCGATTTATTTCCATCACGCAATTCCTCCATTCCTGCATTACTATTAGGCGATTTATTGTCAGTTACTTTTAACTGATTTATAGTCTATTACTTTAAACCGATTTATAGTCAGTTACTTTTAACTAACTATAAAGTAACCACTTTTGATTGAGTTGTTGTCAATTCCAATTGGGACCTATAAAATTATATACTATTTTTTCTCAGAGAATTCCCAAAAATAGACCGTCTAGATGTTAAACTTTTCAAAAAAAAAACACAAAGTGGATGAGGCCGTCATATGGCGGCCATACCAAAACGGGAACCTATATAGGCAATTTTATACTTCAAAGGATGCCATCTACCAAATCTTCTTAAATACCAAATTTGAATAAAATCGAGGATTATCGAAATACCGAATATCGGTAGGTATCGTTATATGACCACTATAGGAAGACGTGGACCTTAATTTTCAATGCTCTGCCGATGGAGCTAGAACCCATTATGAATTACAAATACCAATTTTTAGACAAAATGTGGCTAAATCATCAAAATACTGAATACCCGGAGATACCATTATGTGGCGGCTATGCGAAAACGTGGACCTATACATACTATGTTCCGCCACAGGAGCTAGAACTCATTATGATCCAGAAATACCAATTTTTAGACAAATCCGTGGAAAAATGTGGCGAAAATTATCAAAATACCGAATATCGGGAGGTACCGTTATATGGGGGCTATAGAAAAACGTGTACTGGGCTGTATCGGGTTTATAACAGACTGTCGGACATCGTTAAATCGACTTAGAATTTTATTCTGATCATGAATATTTTTATACTTTATGGGGTCTAGGACGAATATTTAGGGATGTTACAAACGGAATGACAAAGACGGGGGCTATACGAAGACATGGACCGACAAGGCCCATTTACTGACAAAATACGTTCGTTTAATTCGTTCGAAAGATAGCGTGATTGCAACACACAGACAGTCGGTCTCGTCGATAAATCGACTAAAAATTTTTCGCTGCTCCAGAATATATATATTTGTAGGGTCTACATGAGTATTTCAAGGAGTTACAAACGGAATGACAAAGTCAATACCCTCCATAGAATGGTGGAGGATATAAAAAACAGAAAAAAGAAGGACAGTATTTTGCCTTTGTTTTCTTGCCTATGCAAGGAGATTTAAAGATGTGGGCCGGGCTTAAGTTAACCTTGGACAACTTATAAACCTGTCTATGAGCATTACATCATCTGCGGTTCAGGGTAGGCTGGAAAAACACTTTTTGTCACATCTATATATTCAGGAAAAGAGATGTTCGATGCGCGGTCCGAAACCTTAGATTACCCATTTTTAAAATATTCTGCAAGTAAATTAAACCGAAGCTTATTTCTTCCAATAGTGGTGTTCTGCACGCAATTATTTTTCGCCATCATATGTTACGTAATAATGAACCAACTGATGCCGATCTCTTCGCAACAGGTTGCGCTCCCCAATAGTCTTCGTCAGGAACACTGGATCCGAGAATATTTTTCTTTATTCGGTAGCACAGACATATAACATTTTTAACGAAAGATCCTCGTTATTCATAAGCCCCATTCATAAGCATCCCTATATTCTGCACTCTGATAATACTAGCAACAATCCTCAACGGAATTGTTTGAAATTGTACATTTATTGAAATTGATTCTATCTACTGTAACATAACGTTGTCTACACTTTCCTTTAGCCCCCATATAACGTTACCTTCGGTATTTTGACGAAATTGTTTGAAATAAATATTGTCTCCTAGAACCTTCCATGTCTTCCTATTAACACATTTTCTAATTGGTATTTCACTGGTATTTGCAAATTGAACTAGAATTCGATCCAATATTGAATTCTGACATTTTTGTGTAAAAAAATAGAGGGCCTTATATTTCCATTAAAGAATAATTTACTCTTATGAATAATGCTATAGAACTCTAAATACACATTTTTCTTTCTTTCTTTCAGGAGCTGGCCTGGCAAGTGTAGTGGTGTCGTTTCTAATGTCCACCTACTATAGTGTCATTATTGGTTATTCAATTTATTACTTCTTCACAGCGTTTAAAACGGAAATGCCATGGGTGGATTGTAATAACAGGTAAACTTCAAACTATATACATAATATTACTGTAGAAAAACATAATTACTTTATTTACCATGCAGATGGAACACTCCCGACTGTTGGGTACCACAGCGAGTAGGAGATAATACCACATCGCCACCAATGTCAAGGACACCATCGGAGGAATTCTTTGAGTATGGTTTACCCCTAATTGAATAGATGGAAGAGAATTGTTGATTAAATTATTAAATCTCCTTTGCAGGAACAAAGTGTTACAAATTAGTCCTGGCCTGGAATATCCTGGCACAATGAGATGGGAATTGTTTGCCTGTTTAATTTGTGCCTGGTTAATGGTGTACTTTGCCACCTGGAAATCAATCAAGTCATCGGCAAAGGTAAAATTTTAAAGTTCAATTGCATATTTTGTATGTCATTGAAAACCTGGTATTTACAGGTACGCTATTTCACTGCCACCTTCCCCTTTATACTGATCATTATACTCATGGGCCGTGCTGTAACCTTGGAAGGAGCCGACGATGGTTTGCGTTACTTTTTCCGTCCCAATTGGGATGAGCTGAAAAATGCCAATGTCTGGATTAATGCAGCTTCACAGAACTTCAATTCGCTGGGCATAACATTTGGTTCGATGATTTCCTTTGCCAGCTATAACAAGTACAACAATAACATTTTACGTGACACCATTGCCGTGAGTGTGGTAAATGTTCTGACCAGTCTACTGGTGGGTGTGTTTGCATTTGCCACTTTGGGAAATTTGGCATTGGAACAAAACACCAATGTTAAGGATGTAATTGGTGATGGTCCCGGACTGATATTTGTCGTTTATCCCCAGGCAATGGCCAAAATGCCATATGCCCAATTGTGGGCGGTAATGTTCTTCTTTATGCTGTTGTGTTTGGGTTTGAATTCACAGGTAATGGGTGATGATGATTTTCGATTTTGAATGTTTGTTAATAAATCCTTGTAAATTTTCAGTTTGCCATTGTGGAAGTGGTTGTCACCTCAATACAGGATGGTTTCCCCAATTGGATTAAGAAACATTTAGGTTATCATGAGATTGTAGTTTTAATAGTTTCGGTTATATCGTTTCTATTTGGATTGCCAAATTTAATACAGGTGGGTATCATTGTTTAAACTTTTTTCTTAAAACCCATCTGATAGTTCTTCAAAAAAAAACATTTTAAAAGAGATTTATGAATGTAGCCAGACATATCTTAAAAAAGCCATGCTCAATCAAACATCTGCATCTTTATCTGATTTTCATTTCATTATCATTTTCAGGGTGGTATTTATTTCTTCCAACTAATGGACCATTATGCTGCCTCTGTTACAATCATGTTCTTGGCTTTCTGCCAAATGATTGCAATCGCCTGGTTTTATGGCACAGGACGTCTATCGAAAAATATTAAACAAATGACCGGAAAGGCACCTTCATTATATTTGAAATCATGCTGGATATTGTGTGGACCTTGTCTGCTGTTTGTAAGTAAACCTTAAAAAAGAATTGTGAGTTGACAATAATTTAATTATTACTTAACAGGCAATTTGGATATTGAGTTTAATCAATTATAAAGAACCTACCTATCACAATGGCCGTTACACTTATCCGGATTGGGCGTACGGCATTGGTTGGATGTTTGCTTCATTTTCACTGGTCTGTATACCGGGTTATGCCATTCTAAATTTGTATAAGGCTCAAGGTCGTGATATACAAGAGGTAAAACATGGAATATGCATTTAAAATAATAGTTAACAATTTTATTTTGTTTTTCATTTCCTTAGCGTCTACAAAGTGCATTGCGTCCCAACATTTATGAGTGTCGAATTTGTGGAGAACATCATTGTGAACACGACTTCCCCGAACAGGAACAGTATATGTTAGCCCAAGAATTAGCCGGTGTCTATAAACCAACTGTTGTGGGTACAAATGTACATGTAACTGGGCAAAAATCTGGCTATAATCCAATGCATTTGCATGTGCAAATGGAAAAGCCACGCGACACTGCACCGCCACCATCCCGAGACGATGGCCATGAGATGCCTACAACATCAACAGTGAATAAGGGAAATTTGGAGGATGGCCAAGCAAGATGATTCTAATTGAAAATGGGAGAAACTCACATTTTAGGCTTTTATTTAAAATTCATATATTGTAGTGTACTTTTAGGCATTTTGAATGTTATCCATTCCAAACAAGAGAATAAAACATTATTTGTTTTTTGTTAAATGTTATAATAGAACAAATTCAAGTTTTTGTTAGGCAATAATAGTAACATATAAAAATGTATTGTTGTTAATAGTATTTTACAAACAAAATAATAAACGAAAATTTCAAATGAACAAATGTTAACTACTATTTTTCAAATTAGATTTTCCCTTGGCCTTTCAAAGACATGTTCAAAGCAGATTTAGACTTTATTACATTTAAAATAATGGATTTTCACAGATTTTTGATGATGCCGACATCTTCAAACGAATGCCCAAGGCTTAAGAGTTTAAACAAAACCTCTTGATATAGTTTATGTATTTTATTAATTATTAAATATACATATATTATTAAATATTCAACATAACATAAATTTACAACATTAAAACATAACGATACAACTGATCGAATTCATCAATTTTTGGTACAGCATTAAAGTTTCTGGGAATTTTACAATATTCCTCGTAAATGCGTAAGCTTTCCTCACTGACGGTTGGTGGTTTAACCGACAGATATGAATCGGTACCATAATCACTCAGTGGCTTCAAATTGATACCCGGCAAATTACGTAGTTGTATACCATTTGCATTGGATTGGGCGACCGTATTCATAGAATTTCCCATTGCAGCAGCTCCACTGCCAGTTAGTTTCGAAATTTGTACATAACGTTTATAAATATCCATACTCTCCTTGGAGGGATTACTCACTTTACAACCATAAACTTCTTCCATTGGTGGCAATAACGACTCCAGAGTAATTGATGTTTCAATTTCTTTAGTTTGCTTTTGATTCTGCTCCTTTAGAGACAGACTTGCGCTGAACTCTTCATCCGTTGAGGTATCATCGGCCTCCGACGATGAACTAGAATCATTACTAGCCGTAGAGCTGGTTGAACTTTGGCCAGTAAGTGAGGGATTTTTAGGTTTTTTACGCTCTTGTATCTGTTTTTGGAATGGCGAGTAATTGGTACGGAATGTTGGCAAATGTCTCATAGCAACTTGACTTATTTCAAATGAGATATGTTCATTCAGTTCAGTCCATTTGAAAGATTGATAGAAATTGGAATAGCCATCAATCATTTCCAAATCTCGAGTATGAACACGAAATAGTTCCTTAACAATTCGATTGGAGTCGGAACATGAGTAGGGCAAACATTTGCGTATTTTCAACCGCACCCAGTCGGTAATGAGACGGGTTTCATGTCTGGGCGATAGAGGCTTATAGGCATTGTGCATATAGTAATCACTTTGTAACTCCCAAATAGGCTGGTTAACTACAATTAAAGACAAAAAACAATTATTTAAATCAAAATCAAATCTTAATACTTTAAATAGCCTTACGTTTTGTATGACTTTTACTGGGTATATAATAACCCAAAAACAAATTTATACTGTGCTGCTTTTCGGTGTCATTAAAAGTGTTGCTGTAATAACGACTCAACGTCTGCATTATATCATTGCCCTGGGAGGCCCATGCCGCTGTTTTGCGATATGTCTTGATGCGATGTACCAACTGGGATCCTCCATATTGTAGAGCCAATGTATCACCATGTTCTTCATAGAGATTTTCCAACATTGTCACACAAACCGAATCAAATTCCAAATTCGGAGATTTAATGAAACCCAAACGTTCTAGCTGATGGCCCAAGGCACATTTGCCAATGGCAAATTGTGCCGTATTTGTACGATCCAAACAATCAACACAATTGGTTCGAACTATACCAGTTTGAAATGTCAACGGTTGTCCTCTGGCCTTGAAGAACATGCCATTCTGCTGGACAACAAACTCAGCAATATCAGCCAACATTTCCATTACATTTCCACCGCCACGACTTTTTCGTGCCATATCGAATGGAATATATTTCATGCGATGTTGTGGTGGCAAGAATTGATTCAAATAACGTATAGAGTTCACCAATTCCTTGGCAATTATATTTTCATGCTGACGTTTTTCACGCTTCTTCACCAAATTAAGCATTATTAGCGGTGATCCATAGTGGAAAAGCAAACGTTCGAAATGCCTGGCCGGAGTTTGGGCATAGGGATCTGAAATATCCAATTGTATTGGAGGTTTTGGTACCATTTTACTAATGTCCTGAGACCAATGTGACGGTACAGATCCTCTCATTTGTGTAAACGAACACATATTATGGCCATCACTTACAATCTGCTCCGTTTCCACTTCATTTGCAACATCGCCACGGAAATTGGCACCACGTTTGAGGAAACGTGTACCAGCATATCGGGTGCTTCTTCTGGCAATCAAACAAACATTTACCCTTCTGCCATATATACTAATACATGATTGACTTATATAGCCATGGGTGACTTCCAACAACCAATCTCTCAGCATTATTCCCTTCATGGGTTCCAACAGAAAAGCATTCCATACAAAGCGTTTACGTGAACAACTACGATAGGCGTAATCCACCCGTTCATTGGCCTTTTCCACATTGTTCGTCAAAGAATCCCATTCGGGTAAGGGTTCGTCGACTTCTATATCCACATTTGGACCAACATAACGCGGAGCCGAAAGATTATATTGCAATGTCCTTGTCAAATCGTACGAATACGAAAAATAGAAATTGCTACGCAAATCAATATTTTGAAACATCTTTTTGTAGCGTTCCTCATATGGATGTGGTGTTTTCAATGTATTCGATGGTTCATTGACTTTAACCATTACCGTGTCCTTAATGGTGTAGATCAAATGCATACCCAAATGCGCACATGATTTTCTCTTTGTTACCAAAATCAAATAGTATCCTTCGAGAAAACGAACAAATCCCAAAACACCATAGGCCGAAGTTACCTTGGGCTGTCCACCCAACGATCCCACGAAACGGCGAATCTCCAATGCATTATATTCATTGGGATTCTCATCAATGGCCAGACGATCATGTTGAGTCCTATCAATGGTCAGCAGACGAAAGCGCGTCTCCCTGTTGTTACTGCCCACCAAATAAAGACGCTATTCAAATATATAATAGGAAAATTTATGTTATTAAGAAAATACAATAACAACCAATTTTATCATACCGTTCGTGTTTCATAAAGCACCACTTTCTGAATAGCACTTATCAGGGGATTAAAAATTATGTTTGGATTGTTATTATTCATTTCTGGACTGACTCAAACCTATCAGTGACCAGTAGTGTTTTTGTTTCTGCAGTAGAGTTGTGTGGTTCTGAAACGATCTAGTTCAATGAAATATTCTGCCCAAGGAACGATGGAACTATATCCATACTAAATTGTTCATTTTGCTCACCTTGGTTTATTTATGTTGTGTTCAGACGAACTTTTCATTATTATTTTTACAAGGGCAATTATTATTATTGTAGAAGAAATGTTTTGTTTTTATTTTTCAAAACAACAAATACATATACAAAATTGGCAGAAGTCGGGCACACCTAGAAAAAAATTATAATCAGCTGGGATCTCTACCTTACCTTTTTATTGTACCATGGGTATATTAAGTTTGTTATTCCGTTTGTAACACCTCGAAATATACATTTTAGACACCACAAAGTATATATACATTCTTGATCAACATAAAATTCTATGTCGATTTAGCGATGTCAGTCCGTCTGTGGAAATCACTCTAGCTTCCCACTTCATAGGTTAATATTTTTTTTTTTTTATACCCTACACCACATAGTGGTAAGGGTATTATGTCTTTGTGCATTTGTTTGTAACATGGAGAAGGAGACGAGATAGACCCATAGTTACTTTTGAGAACCTTCATAGAATCACTTTCTGAGTCGATTTATGCATGTCCGTCCGTCTGTCCGTCCGTCCGTCCGTCCGTCCGTCCGTCCGTCCGTCCGTCCGTCCGTCCGTCCGTCCGTCCGTCTGTCCATGTATTCTTGTGAACAAAATGCAGGTCGCATTTATTATCCGATTGAGATGAAATTTTCCAAACAATATTTTTTTGGCCCAAGGACGAACCCTATTGAAATTGGTGAGAATCGGATCAAATTTAGATATAGCTCCCATATATATCTTCATCCGATTTCGGGTTAAATGAGCACCAAATGTCCACTATCAGTCCAAATTGCCTGAATTTTGGCACACCCAACCGAGTTCGGCCTAGAAGCAAGTATATCAAATTTGGAGAAAATCGGTTCAGATATAGCTATAGCTCCCATATATATCTTTCATCCGATTTGATCTTTAAGTCCCTCACAGTCCTACTATGCTCTCCACAACCGTGATATTTGGTACCAGGTATTAGATGGAGCACAGAAATAGCTGTTTTAAATTTTATCGAAATCGGTTCAGATTTGGATATAGCTCCCATATATATCTTCATCCGATTTTGGGTTAATTGACCACCAAATGGCCAATATCAGCCCAAATGGCCCGAATTTTGGCACATGTGACCGAGATTAGCCTTAAAGCAAATACCACAAATTTGGAGAAAATCGGTTCAGAAACAGCTATAGCTCCCATATATATGTTTTATCCGATTTGGTGTTTAAGCCTCTCACATTCGTAATATGCACTCCACAAGAATGATATTTGGTACCTGATATAAGATACAACCCAGAAATAGCTGTTTGTAATTTTATCGAAATCGGTTCAGATTTGGATATAGCTCCCATATATATCTTCATCCGATTTCGGGTTAATTGTGCACCAAATGGCCGATATAAGTCCAAATGGACTGAATTTTAGTACATCGGACCAAATTCAGCCTAGAAGCAAGTATATCAATTTTAGTGAAAATCGGTTCAGATATAGATATAGCAACCATATATATGTTTCATCCGATTTAGTGTTTTAGTCCCATACATTCGAAATATTCACTCCACAACCGTGATATTTGGTACCAGGTTTTTTGGAGCACAGGAATAGCTGTTTTAAATTTTATCAAAATCGGTTCAGATTTGGATATAGCTCCCATATATATCTTCATCCGATTTAGGGTTAAATGTGCACTAAATGGTCAATATCAGCCCAAATCACCTGAATTTTCGTACATAAGACCGAATTCAGTCTAGAAGCTAATACGTAAAATTT